TTTTTTTTTCTTTTTTACTTGGTCAACGGCTATTGTGGAAAAGTGACCAGGTCAACCGGGTATTTTCCACCATTTCCTCTCATTTCAAAAAGGGTTGGGCTCGAACGGGTTTTATCTACCAAAGGTGGCGGTGACATTGGGTTAAGAAGACCCGCTATGAGCGCGGAGTTAAATTTGCTTAACGACAACGAAAAATTATCTTGGGATACGACGCTGTGTCCGGCGAAGGCACCACCACCGTAGATGGTGGTCGTGGTGGAGTAGGAGTCCATATGAGTAGGTGAGTTACAGATCTGATGAAGAGCATGACAGTGATGACGACGATGAAGTAACAGTTCCCTCAGCCGCCGGCAAAGGCGGTGGTTTAGAAGCAAGGCAGCACCAAGAATTTTCCGGGGAGACTATAATCGGCGTATCAAATCTACAACTTTGCTGACAAGTAGAGGAGGCGGAAGAAACTGAAGAGGCAGTGGTGGCGGAGGAGGAGGATGTAATGGGGTTCTCATGGCAGCGGCGGCCTTTAGGCTTAAATGCTTAATGGGGTGAGTTTGGAACTTGAGACGAGTAGTGGTAGCTACCATGTGTCAACGTGACAGTGAGTGGTGTTTAGTAGAACAACATTATTCTTTTAAGAATAGTCTAGTTTAGGGCACCAACGATTGGCTTCATCGAAATGTTTTAAGAAATGGCGATGGATCAGAGACACAAACAGAGGATTAAAAGACAGACATACAACAATGACCAAACACAGCAAATAAGGGGCTCTTCTATCTGTGTTTTAGTTTTGTATTTTGAGTTTTGAATTCATTTTAAATTTTATGTTTAAAGTGTCTATTTTGAGATTGTTGAAAATATGTTTTTTTTTGACATTTTGAAGTTATTTTGAAAACACCCAAAATCTATTTTGAAAATTTTACTTGATTATAACTAAAAACACTCAAAACGACAAATTTTTAACTTGTTTTCAAAAACGCGTTTTCACTGTTTTGAAAAATCGAAAACAAAAAACAATTTGAAAATTGTAAAACGAACATGCCCTAATTCGGTGTTCGAAAACGCGCGGAAATGCGCTGCCTGGGCGCGACGCGCGTAGTAAACGAGTCAAATTGGGCAATGCGCGTAAAAATGCGGTCAACGATTTTTGTTGACCGCCTAGACGTCTCAATGCGGAACAATGCGCGCATAGGCGCGCATTGAGACGCCCCAATTTTTATTTTTATTTTTTGATATGATATAAAAAATTATTTTTAAAATATAAAAATCTATTTATTATATTAAACTAATATTAAAAATACGAAACGCATTATGACGCCTATTCTCCGCAT